CCACCCACACCACCAGCACGCCGCGGCTCCGCAGGTCTGCCTGCATGCGGGGCTCGCTGGCCCCCCCGCCTTGGAACGTGTGCAGCGCTGCGCATGGGCAGGGAGGGGCGTGGGGAAGTGTCGAGACTGGCAGCCAACTATGGCAGGCAGCTGCTGGTCCGACCGTCGAGGCTGCGCAGCTGAGCAAGCACTCCAGAACAGCAGGGCGGATTGGCTGGAGTTCACAGAATGAAACATTCCCCACTCCGAGGCAGGACCCCAGCAGCCAGGCACTCACCCAGCAGGTAGGCATTCACCACTTCCACCAGGGAATCCACCTCTGTTTCTGGCAGGCGCGCCTTCGCGCCAAAGCCTTGCACGGCGCACTGGAACATCTCTCTTTCCACCATGCACAGCGCGTGCTGTGCCACCACGCTGCCCTGGTGCTGCCGGGCGGCGGACAGTGCTGCCAGCAGGTCGGCAAACGGCAGCTGGCCTGGCGGGCGCTCTGGCGGCAGCAGCAGCGAGCCCAGGTTGCGGCCCTCCCGCTCAATGGCCTCCTCGAGGCCGCCTCCCTCAGCCTGAGGGCCGGCGAGCGGCGGCAAAACGCCGCGCGGGAGGCGGTAGCTGCCGGGGCCGCAGGGCGAGTCTGGCCCAGCCAGGGCTGGCAGCTGCGCATCGCTGGCGGCCGCCTGCACCCGCGCTGCTCTGGCGCCCTCCAGCGCCAGCCGGGCCGCTCTGCAGGCTGCCTCAACGTGTGCCACGTCGTGCGCCTGCACAGCCAGCTCGCCGCCCACGCTGGCCACAGCCGCCGTCATCTGCATGGCAGCATTCAGCGCCGTCGAGGTGGCTGAGCCATTCACCACCAGCGGCACCTGACGCTGCAGCAGCCACAGATGCAGGTGGGCCTCTGCCAGCTGGAAGAGGTCGGGGGAGGGGCTGCGGCAGGTGCTGACGTGGCCCAGTGTTGCCTGCACGTGCACATTAAAAGGGGGCGGCGAGGCTGGTCAGACAGGGGCAGACACTCGGAGGTGTGGTAACAAAAGCTTGGTGGTGAAGGGAAGCAGGCCCAAGCAAGTTCCAGCGAGGAACCCGTCAGCAGGTGCTCGCTAGTCGTCCAAGTACAGCAGGCTCAGCAGGCCTAGCAGGCCCAGCAGGCCCTGGCAACGCACCCTGATGGCCTCGCGGACCAGCGGCCATGCGGTGTCTCGCGGCGCGCCGCCTGTGTGCAACCCGACGTCGGTGAAACCGCCCTGCGGCTGCCGCGCCGGCACCTCGTCCTCTTCATCTGCCTCCAGCTGGTCCAGCGCTTGCAGCACCAGGGCGCGCACCATCGCCGGCGTCTTCTGGTGGCCCTGCCCGCCCCCAGCCGCAGAGCGTTCGTCGCCCTTGCGCTGCGCCGCCTTGGCCAGGGCGCCGCTCAGGGCCGCCCGGAAGCCTGCCATCTGCTCGGCCGGCAGCACGCCGCAGTGCACCACCGTGCCCTCGCCGCTCTCTGCCGTGTGGCTGATGGCACCGTCGTCGGTGCTGCGAGATGGGGGCCAGGGGATGGCAGCAGAGATGGGAATGGAGAGGCAGGAGGGCAGAGGGGCCAGCAGCTGCTGTTAGGGGAGGCAGGCAAAGCAGGCGCGGCGCGTGCATGGAGCAACGGGTCCGCGCCGCCAACAAACGCACCTGTGTGTGATAAAGCGCCAGCGATCCAAGCCCACCAGGATCAGCGCAAGGCTGCCTGGTACTGGCTGGGTGTCTGGCATGCCGGGAGGTGCCATCAGCAGGCAGCAGCCGTACTCCGGGAAGAAAGAAGCGCTCTGGGCGCAGGCCACGAAGCGCACCGCCTCTGCCAGCAGCTAAGGTCGGCGGCAGGCAG